AACTGAGGTTTCAGTAAATAAATCCACACATTACAACAAAGCTGGTAGACTTTATTATGTCCTTGACCTGTACTACATGTTCATGCAGGTCGATGTTCAGTTATTTCTTCACATAACGTTCAAATCCACATAGCATATTTTGACTTGACATTTTATTGCATAATTTGAACACAAGTTCTAGAAAAGTATCTGTAGTTTTATGAGACAAATCTGTTCCCGTTGCTAGCTGCACACCTCAAACAACTTTGTGGACAGTCTCTCTGTCAGTTTCTATTTTAGCTGCTGGCTAACAAAGGTCAGTTTAGTGCAAATTTGAAGAAAGATGTGTTTTTGCTGAAAAAAAATAATTCATTTATTTATTTTTATGAGACTATTCCATTATTATTTCTGCTTTAAAGTCGGATTTTTTTCTCTAACATGTTGATGTTTGGGATTTGACTCACTTTGGGAAGTAGTCTCAAGTGGCCAGTTGAGGATCTGCAGTTTTTTGGGGGGTACTTTTGCATTACTTAGTTTTTTTAGCTTTGAGGATGCTGACTTACCAAAGATCATACATCTTTCTGAAAAGCAGATTTTGGTCAGTACAAAGTAACTCAGTGGACTGCCTACCCGTAAGATTTCCAGGGGAGAAACAGATCCTGTAGAGAAGGAACATTAGCTCTCAACAAAACTAAACAAATTTAATCCAGATGTGGCAAACGTTGAGGCCATTGGGATTGACCTTAAAAGGGCGTACTGTGAAGGCCTGTGAAAGTGAATGTTTCACATAAATGCGAAAAGCTGATTCTCGTGGTTTAAATATGAGCAGCTGAGTGACCTTCCATCAGCTTGAAGAAAGAAAAGTAGAGCAGCACTGAAGATCCAAAAGATGACCTGAGAGCAGGAAGCAGGAGTCATCAGGCACCACTTGACAGTACATTATCATTATCATTATCCAATTACACGGCTGATTGAACTTGAAGCTCATCCTCCTGACAGCCCTCCTTTCTGTTACCCTGCTGGGACAAAGTGAGTCAGCCGGAAATCAACTACACTTCAATCTTGTTTTAATTTAATAGGTGGCATAGAATTAAAGTTTTGATTCTATTCTTTCTTCTTTTAAGTTAACCACAGTTTGTTCTCTTCACAGCTTTTGTCTTTACTAAAATTCAAACCACAAAAATGTGTGCATACTAGTTTTATATTGTCTGTTTCATTGCTGTCATCTCCTGTCTGATTTGGAGGAGTTTCATTAGAGTAATTTATCATTCAAGTACCAAAGTGAAAGGCACCTTGTGTTACATTTGCAAACAAAAGGCGATATCACTGTATTGCACATTCATGTCTGAAACCACTCATGAAATGATTGTTTGTATTTCAGAATATCCCACTTGTCTGTCCTTCTCATCATTAATTGTGTAACATTGTCCCACTGCATTATAAGAGTGCTGGGTATAAAAATATCCAACTTTTTCTTTTTTGAAACTACACTCAGTGAAATGAATATAGTTTGGGTTTAAAAGTTCATTCAAGGATTTCACTCACCTCAAACAGGCAATAGCTGCAGGGAACAGCTCAAGGTTTTATTCTTATTTCAGTCTAAAATTGAGAAAGAAATGTCATTGTGGAAAATATAACCACTTGAGACATCCCTTCAGAAACATAACTCATTCTTAGGTCATGTGTAATTCCTTCGAACCCAAGTTTTTCTGGTAGTTATGGTTTTCATTCTTCCAGATTAACGCATTAATACATATTCATGTGTTCACCTCTATAGTTTTCATTTTAAGTGCTGCACTCCAACATTCACATGCTGGATTCAAACTGCCTCCTTCACACACATAATGGGCTTACAGGAATGATGTAGCATGTAATCTATCATCATTATTTAAAATGTATTCTATTCACATAGCCTAATTTATAAACACAATCTGCATTTCAGAGAGCAGGCTTCATCAAGCACCTGTGCTTTAAATCTGCTTTTATATGGAACAATTCATTAGTGATATTTCTCTCCTGACCATATTTCTTGGGCATGGATTCCTTATTTTAACTGGGGAGAAGCTGTGTTTGTCTTTGCTGCTACACCAAACATACATTTTTACTTAGAAATAAAACAAAATTGATCCTTCAGGTGGGTACAGTCCACAGCAGAAAAGACTTGTGAGTTTGAAGCAAGATACTCACGTTTATGGAAAGTTCAATGCCTCCTTTCTTAGTGTTGCTTCTCCTCTCGACATTCCTCTACTCCTTACTTTTATAATCTGAAGTGCACAGCAATGCAAGAGCTGTATTTATCAACAGAGCTGTTAACCATGGCATTTTAAGCTCTTTTTAGAACATCAAATAACCAAATAAAAGGCAACTAACTATAATAATAGAAACCATGTTTGAGAAACAGTTATTTGACTTGCGTTTTGATTTTTTAGTTTGAACAATGTCCTGTCTGTTAACATGGGGGAGACAGTGTTATTAACTATACTAGAGCCTGTCAGTAGGGGGAGCTCAAAATGTTTTGGCTTCACTTCTTGGAGTTTTTCCATGCTGCAAGACAAATGGTGTTCCCCCCCCCCAAAAAAAACTGTGAGGTGCATGTAAGAAAGGGCAAGTAAGGAAGATTTCTGGGCTGGGCTGAATTTTACATAGAGCTTTTCAGGACTGTGTGTTTGTAAAAAGCTAAGTTAAGAGTTCAAACAAACAAAGCAGCAACCTCTGGTCTTGAAAAATGAAGCCAATGCGGAAGTGCAAAATCCTGCAGTTTGTCGAGTCTCCTCTTGAGGCTGGCTCCAGGAACACCGGAAGTCACTTGCACACAACAGGCAAAAAAGCAGTTTTTACAGGAGAAATGAACATGTTTACAGCCTGGTGCAAAAAACTAAATAGGTCTGATTAGTTATTGTCATGGCACACTCTGTACGGGCGGTGAATTCATTTAAAAATGGCTCCGCTTTACGATAGGGTGAGACAGGATTTCCAGCATGACGGTGGCTGCTGATGAGCCCCTGGAGCACCAGGCCGTAACAAATGGCTGACGTCATTCAGGCCTCATCCATTAATATTTACATTCTATGGCTGCAACAAACAAAACATGCTGTTACTATGGCAACAATGGCTATGGTCAAGTGTACCAGGACAGAAATCCAACTTCATCCACATGGTCATTTGATTTCAATTGAATTGTTTATCCTGTTGTGCAGCCTGAATCTCAGATTATTCATTTATGTTTGGTTGATCCGTCATTTTCAATAATCTGTTTTTCATTCACTTGCTCATAATAAGTGCCTTGACGCCTATCATTTATTTACTGTGTTGGTTAATTTAGGGATAAATCCTAACTAAAATGCAGTCAGGTATGTGTTGAGTTATTTTTCTCAATGTCTTACTGTTTCTTCCTAAGTAGACAATGAAATCAAACACACTTACCAACACTAGAACCCGAAGACAACTTGACTTATCTTGTGTGTTTTTGTATTTCAGTTTTTGTCCTGATCTAACAGATGTTGTGTTCTGCCTTGAACTTGTAATCCTTCAGCTCCTGTGTGTTTTCTTATGCATTCAACTCTTCCATTTCTCTTGCTAGTTTTTACACAGAAAGAGGAAGATTTGTAATGTTGATGGCAGCCATGTTTTTTTCAAACTTTAATTCGGAGGAGGAATAAATCATGCAGGACAGCCTCAGCTTTGCAGAGGCCCAAACCTTAACTCTGGTGAAATCAAAATATATATATTCTAGTTGAGAAAAAGTCAAAATAAGGACTTCTCACAAGCATATTTTTTTAATGTAGAGCTGAATTTTTCCTGAGCAACAGTGGAGCTGTGCAGAATCAAGTGAAGTGAAAAATGAGCACCGCTGTGCAGACAGGGAGATATTCAGCTGGTCAGTACAGCAGACCTGCACATAATGAGCTCCTCGGCAGGTTTGATTCATACCAAGTATTAAAAATAGGTTTCCTCCATATGCCGTATAATGATGAATCACCCATTTACAAGCTATTATTTTTACATTATTCATTCTTGAGGTGTGTGCTCTGTCTCTGTGGTTATTTATGTTGGTACACTTTGCAGTGCAGGTAAGTAGACACAAATCTGGTAGCACTGTGGTTATAATGCAATAAAGAATTTAATTTTTCTATTCAATTCAGTGGGCATAGATAGAAGATCTTACCAAAGTATAATAACAAACATACAATAATATGAATGTTTAATACTAATAATTAATAACAAAAGTAACAATCATAATAATCAATAAAGATATTTTAATAAGAGATATAGAGAACAAACCAAATGACGTGTTTTTGTGTATGGGGTCTAACGAGAATTCGCCCGGATTTTGGATCGTTGAAGAAAAATAAGCTCTGTGGCAAACACACGTTTCTGATGCTAAGACGTTTTGTTCAGCAGGATAATCTTCACAAATGAGTATGCTATAGCAAACTACACCACGGTCGGATGGTTTTGATGTCATTACCGTTATGCTTCAGACGATCTCCAATAAGCTAATCAGAACCCTCGCTTAATAAATTTATAATTAACCTAATATTTGCCTTAACCCAAAGATTAAACCTAAAGGAGACATCACTGGGTAAAGCCGACTAGTGAGAGAGGTCCCGGCGTTTGTGTCTGGCGTGAAGACGTTTTATGTCCCCGACAACCACTGTAGTCTCATTTAGCCACTTGTTGGCAACAAGCTTTTTAAGGACGTATAAAAACTTCACAAGTGGGGGTATTACCTAAGGTAGTTTATGTCATCTGACAAAATACGAACATCTCTTAAGCTTGTGTTAACCACAGACCTTATTTCCGGCATCTAACCACAAACCTGTTCACAGCATCATCAAAGGCTTTTAGAATGTAGAGTTTAGGTATAAAACCCATTACACCAAGCTGAGAGGCACAGACACTCGTCAGTTCACGGATCAGATCTGAGACACTAGTCAGTGAGATATTTTAACAAGTACAACAAGTGCTCTAAACCACTCGACATCTAAGAGACCAAATCTCTGAATCTCATCAGAACAGCAATGGAACAAAAGACTGAATCAGAGTCCCTGAGCTGGGGTGATATCATGGACATGGAGATGGAGGCTGAGGACTTGGTATATATCATGCCATGGGCCAGCAGCAGCAGCTGCCAGCAAAACCTGTCCAGAGAGGTCCCCACGGAGCCACAAGATAATACTCCCTCTCAAAGGGTGGAGGAAGGCAAGGGGCAAAACCAGCAAAGAGAGCTCCCAATGGAGTCACAAGATAATACTCCCTCTCAAAGGGTGGAGGAAGGCCAGGGGCAAAACCAGTCCAGAGAGGTCCCCATGGAGTCACAAGATAATACTCCTTTTCAAAGGGTAGAGGAAGGCCAGGGGCAAAACCAGTCCAGAGAGGTCCCCATGGAGCCACAAGATAATACTCCCTCTCAAAGAGTGGAGGAAGGCCAGGGGCAAAACCAGCAAAGAGAGCTCCCAATGGAGTCACAAGATAATACTCCCTCTCAAAGGGTGGAAGAAGGCCAGGGGCAAAACCAGTCCAGAGAGGTCCCCATGGAGTCACAAGATAATACTCCTTTTCAAAGGGTAGAGGAAGGCCAGGGGCAAAACCAGTCCAGAGAGGTCCCCATGGAGCCACAAGATAATACTCCCTCTCAAAGGGAGGAGGAAGGCCAGGGGCAAAACCAGCAAAGAGAGGTCCCCATCAAGCCACAAGCTAATCCTCATCCCCAAAGGGTGAATGCCACTTGTTGGCAACCAGCCAGGGGCCCCCTGGTAGGTGCCCACCCCCTCCCAGATGGCAGGTGGAAAATGATCTTAGGGGTCGCCTGAGCGACGCAATCTACCATCTGAAACAGGAAAGAGGGATGAGGCAAGCAGTGGAGCACACCAATGCCACCAACAAGACCAAGCTGCAGGAGTTACGAGAAAGGGTGAAGGAGGAGCGTAACAGCACACTCGAGCGTGAAAAGGATATCAGGATGTTAAAAGAACAGCTGAATCACCTGAACCCATCCTTCAGTGTACCGGACATGAAATATTATTCCTGCAAAACAAAGGAGGAGCTCATAGGTGTGATTGAAGCACAAAATAAAAAGCTCCAGGAGAGAGCCTCAGGGGGTCCAAAGTTGGATGAAACCCTGAGAGCTGAAAACAACGCTCGAGAGAAGGAAATGAAGGCCATGCAGCATCAGCTGCATGAAGAGACCAGCAGTGGCCTTGATCTAGCCTTAAAACTGAAGGCTCAGGAGGAGGCTAGTCGGGCGATGCAAAAGGAGATGGAGGAGCTCCAAAAACAGCTGGAGATGTATAAGTGGGAGTCAAGTGCATCTGCCTTCACTCCAGAGGAGGACATGGATTTCTACGATGAAGATTACACTGAAGACTCTGTTGAGGAAACTCCTGAGGAGGTCAAAGAAGAGACAAAAAGTCTGAGTCCATCCTCCAGAGCACCAGAGGAGGACTCAAATACTGGCCAAATACAAGAGCTCCTCGATTTCAAGCTGATCGAAAAACTGAACGTTAAGGAGGAGACAAGTCAGGTGTTGCAGAAGGAGGTGGAGGTGCTCCAAATGCAGCTGGAGAAACAGACAGTTAAGTGGAACAATGAGCCCTCCCTCCAAAAGGAGAACAACCAGGTAAACAGCACCTAGGTAAACAACACCCAGGTTAACAACACCAAGGTTAACAGCAAGGGCGACGCTCCAAATGTGGTCCAGACAGCAGCTGAGACGGAGGAAATCTCTCTGTGGAGGAGGTTTAAAAAGTGCATCACTCCAGAACACCGTCGCAAATACAAGCATCTCAGGGGGCAGATGCAGGACCAGCAGTGACAATCTCAGCACCGACCAACCTCCCCAGCTCCCACAGGCTGTAACAGGCTGCAGGAAAACACAGTGAAACATGTGAAGTCCTGACAATACTACATTATTGTAAATATTACAATAAAAACTTAAAATCAATTATAAACCTTCTTTCTAGTTGGATTTCTGTAGAGTATTGTACAGTATATGTATACTGTGTTTGCTGAGTATGAACCGTGTAAACAGAACAAAGTCAAAGTGTTCATATGTATTGTTATTTTTAAGCCTTATGCTCCATAAGGTAATTTAAGGGGTCTACCTCAGTTCCCCTCCAATGAGGAGAGAGAGGTTCCGGTTCCCCCCTTACTTCACGCGTAGGTGTGAAGTACTGCAGGGGATTCTGGGATTAAGAGTCCTTTTAGGCCTCTTTGTGATCTCAGTGAATAACTCAAATGAGGCTTCTCACAGAGGTGCAGGCCCAAGTCCATTGTTTGACTGTCCTAAGCCTGCGTGGCCCAACACTACTAAACACGTTATTAGATGCAATCTGACAAAAAGAGCATTGAATTAGAGGTTTGACACAAAACTCTGAAAACATAACAATGAATGCTGAACTGAAGTATAATTTGTTATCATTTAGACTTGATGCTGAATAGACTTTTAGCAGCAACAGAGGTGATTCTCCATCTATGCTTTGTTGCCCTGTGCTTTGTCACAGCAGAGATACATAGAAGACTGTGTTTGCACTGTGCAGCTCATTAATGTAAACATGTGTAGGAATGTGTCACAATTTTTTTTTTTAAACTGCTTATTAGGCAAAGCTGTGGAGGTGTTGATAAGCTGAAAATACAATACAAAGGTCTATCAAGGCGATCATCAATGCTTTCCTGAGATGAAGTAGGGTGTAATTTCTCAAAGGATAAATCCATCAGCTGGAAAAACTTCTGTATACTGTTTTTTAAGGCTGAGAATATCTCAGCAAAGTGTTCCAATCAAACTGAATTTCCTTTCATATTTGAGTATTGGAGACACTTTCAAAGTATATAAAGTGAACATATGATTGAGATGGAAAAGAGCTTATCTTCCTTTAAAAACAATATTTTCTCCAAAGGAAAGAGTAACTGCAGACTGAGGCTGTTTGAGCTCACAGCAGGTGATCAGGAAAGTGGACTGCTGCCTGAGGATGTGTTTACCTTTTTTCCATTTGCCCACAAAATTTTCCAGAGGGTATTTGATTAATAAGCACAATCTGATGTAATATCCACTAGAAATGTGTATCACATTATATCATCCAGTATAAGAGCTTCCTGATTGAAGCTGCTTTAGCATTGTGTTGAGACTAAAATGAGGCTTTTGTTTTGCTTCTTGATTCCCTGATGAGGCCGTCATTTCAGAGTGTAATAATGGCAGGATAAAGTAACCTGCTTTACATTCAAAATAAAATGCTTTTTAAAGCCTTTTAAAATAAAGTGATATCAAGAGTTGAACAATCTCTAATGCTGGTGCCAGAAAACTCTCAATGATGGAAAAGCTAAAACTAAAAGGTGCTAACTGCTTAGTTTGTAAAGAAAAGAAACACTCAAGAAAACACTTAAAATGTTGTTCAAGTGAAAATTTTTACAACTTACAAATTGTGACTGACTAGATTCTGCTTTCCATATCAATATTTATTGTATCTGTACCAAGGGCCTATACTATGAAGCGAGTTCAACATACCAAGGGTATCTTTGGGTTATCTGGCTTCACTAACCCTAACATAAGAGATCGTGCTTACAGTCATACGAAGCTGGTTATCAATCTATTAAGTAACCCTTGAGTTTCCAAGAGCGCGTTCACATAAAAGGGACAGTGTTAGCTTCATTTAAAGGCAGGGTTGGTCATTTTATCCAGATACACTTTTTAAGATTTTGGTTGAAATTGTCTTTAGATCCTGACGTTAATAACTCATGTGCTCTGAAAAGGAACAAAGAAAATCTGTCATCTGTAGCATGTTGTAAGCACATAAAAACTTTGACCAATGTCTGCCACGAGGTACCAATCTGATGAATCAATCATGCCGTTCTCTACCCCATGCATGCAGGAGCCCACACTCAAAGCATGAGCTGATGTTCACTTCTGGACCAATGGCGCTTTTGCTTGTAAGTGAAGGGTGTGGCTTTTGAGGGAGCACAGAGGGGAGGGGGATGAGTGCAGACGGAGCACTGAGGGAATGCTACTTTAAAAATCTTGCTAGTCTCTTAACTGAATGTGTCAGTGGGCAAAGATTTTCTCAGGTTATATTTGCAGCATAAGTTACCGTGGTGATATACCCAGGTAAGAAGTGGACGACCTTTGTCTGATAAAGGCTGTAGAATAAGTCAATGTTAGATTTGTTGTGTTATACAACACAAAAGGGCAAAACATTTGAGGAGAAAGTGGCCGTTTTCAGTATAGCTGTTTAGAACGCTCTTTTTTTCAACATCGCGTCATATGACGTAGCATGGGGGACTCGCGTTCTCTGACTCTGCTTTGATCCAATGCAAGTGTTTCTTCCATTGTATAACATTTAATTTGACCAGTCATTAAGATGGTTAAATATTGTTTAAATAATGTTTCCCTAATAGGAAGAAACATGGAGTTAGCTTTTGTGCCTGGATTCTCTTTGTGCAGTTGAAGAGACGGGACTTTATTTCTGCATCTGTGAACTGTCACAAAAAACGCGGTCGTCTGTGGTGCTCATTTTCGGTAGAAAGATTATGTTCCTGGCGACATGATGGAGTTCAGGATGGTGCGGTCCCGTCAATACAGGCAACTGCAGGTTCACCGGCAGCAGCAGCAGCAGCAGCAGCAGCAGCAGCTAGCCCGTCTCCCGGTGGCAGAAGTAAACAAAGATCTGTCAGAGATTCAGCCCGACGGAAAACGGGAACTAAGCACCGTAAGTATTGGGTTTTGCTCTCTGACTCCAGATTAGTGGATAAACAGATTTCAATAGGTAGAATAATGTTTGTTTAATACGTAATTATTAATAATATCATCAAAGCCTTCAAGCTAGCGGTGACATAGCATCAGGGACACGGGAAGAAGCTAGCCTAGGGGTGCTAAGGGTGCTGCAGCACCCCCTGACATCAGGGACAAATGATACCATCAGCTATAAAACTACAGTTAATCCCGTTACATGTGATGTGTGGATGTAGTAGCCTACATGTAATTATTGTGTAATTATGTGTAATTATTGTTTTTGTCCGTAACTAAAAGAGAGAGAGAGAGAGAGAGAGAGAGAGAGAGAGGGAGAGAGGGGGAGAGAGAGAGAGAGAGAGAGAGAGGGAGAGCAGTAACAAGCAAGTCGGGGAACGTGTCAGAGCTCATATTGCCCACGAACAAAAACCTGAAGGTTAAATTGATAATCTTCTCTACGGTTTACTGGTTTACCAGTAAAGTATGTTTACTACATGGCATGGCAGACTGCAGTCTCTGTGAACACACTGATGCCTCCTATGTGCACTGAGTGCTTATCCTTCTGTCTGCGCGTCACCCTCCCTGCTCTGTTTATTAAAAATCTATAAACTGATCATAAGCCACGTCTGAACTTTCAGTGTGAGGTTTGTAACACACCGTAATTTAGTACAAACACACATATATATTTGATTTTACACACCTCAGACTAAACGTCAAAAATGTATACTACTGAGCCCTGTTCTGGCAAAGCTGTTTCATTGGAGAACATTGGATTTTATGCTGTCTCATAAATATGCCTCCAAATATGCCTGATCTCTTTTCAACAACATCATGTCAATTTTTATGTTTTTGATAGAATTAGGATCATTTCATTTCTTTAAATCAACTCATTGTGTGAACTAAAGTTTTGTTTAAAGTTGTGTTTTTTCTTCTTTTCATGTTTATCTCCTAGGTGTGTGCATTCTGTGGGTGGGAGCGTTTTTGGCAGAACCCGCCAATGCTGCACCGAAACATGCCTGCATATAACCGACAACTGAGTGGGGCCATCCACTTTTCAGCTCCTGCAGTCTCACAAACACTCTCTCGTTCTCTCTCTCTCTTCTCTGACGTTCTCCACAGGTATACTCCATTTTGTTTGAGACTTTCACACATCATATTGTAAATATTTAATTTGGTCTAGTCTGGTTTAATAAATAATTATTTAAACTTTAACTTGGTGTTGTCTCCCATTTTTGTTGTGACTTCCTGAGCCGGGTCACGACAGCATTAAAAAAGATTTCAACTGGTAAGACACTTTGCGATTGTGTTTATTTATTTTTGTTGTCCTCCAAATGATGACTTTATAAATCCCCCCTCTTCTGGACACTGTCTCCTGATGGCAGACACAACACAGGAAGGTAATGTGCCTTCCCAGAATGCCATAGGCCCAGCGGATCACCTGCCTTTAACCTGTGTAACGGTATTGCCTGGGGATAGGGACAAAATATTTACAATTAAACTTGATAGTCCTTTTATTTACACAATCGGAAATGAATTAACAAAGGTAATGGGAATGCTGTGTTTAATCAAAGTATCGGAAAATCAGTCTGAGTTATAGTAATGTCTTCAACTTGTATCTACATGCTTTGAGCAATGAAAGCTAATTTACAACAATAAAATAATAAAAGTCAGCAGAATTGCAGATTGTTTCTGCCCCACACATTCTCATGTTTACTGGCCTGAAGGGGACCATGCTCCTGCCTGAAGGTCATGTATGCTATCTGCAGGACAAAGGGACTCAGACAGCAAGCCTCAAAACCTGGGTGCTGTGTCAGGCATGTTATGTCTGGTCTGGCGGTAATGTTCTCCATCAACACAATAGGTGCAGCACAGATTTCCACAGCTGAAGCCATGGGCTGACATTTACCGCACAAGCACCTATCAAACATAAGTTACAGGAAACTGTTATCCCTCTCCCTCTCTGTCTTTTTAAAGTGCGTTGTTCTAAAGCATGTGGTGAATGGTGATTTGGGGCATGTAAGTTTAGGATTAAGTTCAGTGGAGTTGCGCTGTGAAGTATTCTACTCTTAATGAGGAACAGCCTACTGCACCATAGACTTTAATACATTAATTTAATATTTAGTACTGGGCTGCATCAGGAATTAAAATATAGCCTAAAGACACCGGTGCTGCATTTACACAGGCTGTAGATCGGCCCTACGTCTCTATCTCTCTCACACACAACGCTGTGGCACTGTAGTACAGATCTGCTGTTTTTATAAGGCAATCCCATACAAGTGAACGGTTAATGATCAGCACTTACACTTACTACTACTTATTTTTGAAGTTATTGTATCGGATTACAAACTTTACATATGCTGTGATGTGAACACGGCATTAAATATTGCTAGCTAGCCCGGTCCTCCTCACACCACAACTCAGCTTCTCTCATTTGGCCGTTATTCCTCCTAATCCTGCCCTGTTCCTGGTCTCTATCTTGCCTAACAGGTTCATAACTATAAGCCTGTGGACCATCATATGCATAGGAATATAGATTTTCTTCCTATTCATTGGCAGGAGTGACAGTCGGATCCATGTTTCTTAATGTTAAACAGAGGCAGAATCAGCGGGACTCTCCCATGTGACGTCACGTTCGAATGCCAGTTTTTAATGCGGAAGTAAACGCAAATGTACTAAAATGTCTCCAGGAGACGCTGTGGTTTATTAATTTATTTTTTATGTTTTTACTTTTTTATAAGTTTTTTTCCTATAAATTGCTTAACTGCTGTCTTCAACCTGCAATATGCTCTTTAACCCTGAACTTACCTCACTAACCCCAAATCCTGTTTCGTAGTACAAACCAGAGTTGTTCTCCTCCTCTAGTCAACTGATTAAATACACACACACACAAACACACACACACACACACACTAGCACACACTAGATGACACATAATTACTCTGCAAATGAAATAGATATTTCTGGTTTTTGTTCAAATGTCAAAGCCCATTGTTCAGTACACAGTGAAATTATTTCTTCCTTTAGATTCTCAGTGAATGCATTTACAGAAAAAAACTTTAATTTCCTCTTAATCTAAAATAATTAATGTTTTTTTTTTTGTGTAATTGGCTATTTAGACCACAAACTCTCCCTGAAAAAATAAGCCATTATCCACTGTAACTGCTTTTTTTTTTTCTTCTTGTCAACGCTTTAACAGTACAGTGACAGTTTTCACAGCACCAACACATTCAGTGATTCTGTATTACAGGAATAGTGCAGAGAAACCCCCACAAAGGATTTTAGCCAAAGATTAATTGTCTTCCTTTTACATTTCTGCGGTGAATACAGCAATGAGAGTCTATGAGAAATAATGTTCCCATGCAGGCAAAGAAATACAATCCTTTCTGAAAAATGGCAAATGTGCCTTTTATCTCTGAATAGGCTTTTGACTTCAATAGGATTATTCTTCCTCCTTTTCTTCGTCTTGATTTAATTTGAACTGACCGCAGTGAGACAGAAGCAGAACAAAGCTGTTAATTGATTTTAATCTGCTGCTAAATAGGTAAGGAAAAGAAAAAAAAACACTTTTTTTGGTACACTTTGAAATAGAGGCTCAAAAGTCTAACAAGATGGCAACTCCAAAATAATATACACATAGGTGGCAAAGTCGAAAGTGTGCAGGACAATCCTATAGGTTAAGATTATGCTTACAAAAGATATTTTGTCATGTGAGGTAGAATAACGAGGAGGAGAACCAACAAAAAGCCACAAGGAGCCATAAGAAAACATATTACAGAACATGAGCAGGAAGTATGGAATTAGGACGTGTGAATCAACAACAAGAGGAAAGGAAGACTAAATAAACACTGTAGTCAGACACAGGTGAAGACAATCAGGACAATCAAAGAGGAGAGAAACCACACAGAGGGAGGAATGAACACAAGACAAGAAACACAGAGGACATGTACATCAAATTAAAACAGGAAACACTAAAGACACACAGAGAATCTAAGAAGGTAACAGTGACACACACAAGGACAAAGTGAAGCACAAGGATAAGAAAGGACTAAATAAAATAGGAAACACTAACGACTAAAATAGGAAACATTTAGATGTAAAAACACACAAGGGAAACAAGCAACACCAGGGAAGAATGAGACAAAATAAAACAAGAACTAAAAATCTCAACTCTGAAAATATAAAAAACACAACAACAAAAAAACATGACCAGATCATGACGTATTTAATCCATTGTAATTTCAAATCTTATGAAGTTCCTTCATTGTACAATATGTGTCTCTCACTGATTCAAAAGATTGAGTCATAAATGTTTTACCATTTTAACCACTCTCCCTTATTTTTGAATTTATGGTCTACATCTTTTTATTTTTCAGCAATACTACGTTCTATTTGACAGTTTACCATCTGCACATCTGACTTATCAGTGCAGAGATTCACTGTAGTACTAAATATGATAAAACATTTCTCAATACAAAGCCTAAAAGGCTCCTTCCCATCATAAAAGAGATTTCAAAAGATTAGCTCTATTTCCTGTTCAGCAGAGCTCATTTATCTCTCACTGTTCTGCCGGTTTCTAATATCAGATAACAGGATCCCCTCGGGGGTAACGTTCGCCCGATTCTCCCTTCCTTTCAATAATTCTGTTTTCCAGGGGCGCCTTGGTAACCAACAGCTGTAATCTGCTATTTTGTGCAAGCAGTTTAGTGGAGCTGATTTTATCTTCAATTACCGTTCTGAGTGATGTCCTATACAATTTACAGAATTGTGAAGATAAACACACTGAAAAACTGCATGAAACCAATACTGTGCTCCAGAGAGGAGGAGTCAACGATGGACTGGTCAAAGACGTACCTCAACCTCTGGACAAATCATCCTTTGTGACCAAGACAACACTTGTCTAAGATCAAGCAAGGAATGAAGCTTCATGGTTTAAAGTGCTCATTTAACAACTCTGACCCACAAAATATGTGAAAATCAACGTTTCAGAAGTGCTACTAACACACCAGCACACACAGTCAGCCATACATTAGTGTCTTATGGTATTCTCTAAATATACACAGACATCTGGACTGAGTGGAGTGAATGATTAGGGCCAACATGCAGACTCGCTTATTCTGCATCTTTTACAGACAGGAAGTGGTATGATGGTGTTATGTCGACCCTAATGTTACAATTCATCCCTCAATAACAGAAACATAAAAACCCCTGCTGTGTTTGTTTGGTTTTAATTAAGATAACAATTGTTTCATATAATGTGAAAATACTTTGACCTTTCCTGTGGTGTCTTAGAGAGAGCTTCTAGTCCACATCATTGCCAAATAAGAAAACACTTCCCTCGATCTAAAATAAAATTGAAGGGCACGCACTTTCTCCTGTGGTTAACGCAGTGTGAGAGAATATCTGATAAAAGAAAGAGGGATTAAAAGAGGCTTCTGAGCATGTCAAAAAGCTAAAGATCAAAGAGGGCTGTAATCCTTCATGAGTCTGACGACTTGACTTTAGCAATGAGACGCCCCTAAGTATTCATGTTTAAACACAATAAAAAACTATCCTTTCTTGTTTATAAAGCGACGACTTTCAAAGTATCTCAATTGTGATTCTTATTAGCTCAACAGAACAACATCACAAAAAGAACAGCAGAGTAAAGGTGGTTACATCTCTGCATTTGTTTCCCTCAATCATCTACTTAATCATTTTTCCTGTGCCATGTCAATGAAGAAAAACATTATTTTGTCAGACATTTATCAGAGCAGGGAAAGATGTGACATTTTACCTCTGCAGATGATTTCCTGTCCAGAAGAAAACTATACACTAATATGATACTGATACTGTGCACCTCGCATCAGTTACAGGACATCACCACCTCCTCTTATTCGCTCCAGGTGAATTATCTATAGGTCCATATCGTTATAAAAAAGCACAAGAAATATCAATAATAATATTCTCAGTGGCGATTCTAGAGTCCGTTGGGGCTCTAGACAAAAATCAATTGGGGGCCCTCCAACCAGTGTTCAATACCATTACGTCTGCATGTGAACGTTTACTCCTCTTTGTCTTTTTTCCTGTTTCTCTTTTCTCTCCTGTAATTCCGCTTCATTTTTCTTCAGCGACTTTCATCGACAAACTTTGGTTTTCACAGCAATAATGCGTGCAAAGCTTAGCAGGGCAACAAGAGTGATAGCTGTGAAATGGGTTTCCTACTGTCATTGCGAAATCTGCACATTTTGGACCTCCCAGAAGCTGCATGCCGAGTAAACGCAGGGAACCCATGAATGCAATCTCCACACAGAGAGGCCTGGCCAACTGAGATTTGAACCAGGAACCTACTCGCCATTACCGCTATCCACTGCACCACCGTGCAGCACACTCTGGATGAAGTCAGAGTTCAAAATCCAGCACTTGCACATACAGCTCCTGTACACACAACATTATGAAATTATCAGGGGTTTTTTCAGAAGTTTCCTTGTGAAAGCTGTATTAGACAACATCACGCTGCTGAAACATACTTTGTTTACATTTATTTTCTCATGCAAAGAGTCACTGCAAGTGATAAGTTTGACTTTTTAAAGACAGCAGGATGAGAATTTCAAAATCTTAATCACTATTCAAACAAGTACAGGACAAAATTTACAAGGAGGGACACCAACATTGATGCAAACCAAAAGTTTCTCTCAGAAGCTTTCAGAAAAAACGTTCAGTGTGGGTTGAGATAACTACCTTTCAGGGGACTTCCTGTTTCATGGTGATAGGAATAGTGACTTGGATGTAATATTGTAATAACAACAGAGAATATTTGCTTAAAAGCACTTGACCAGAAGAAGGTAAAATACTTTTAGCTCTCCAGAGGATCTGTTAGTTACAAAATGAGTTGAAATCTGCCCGTGTCACGCCGATACACAGGATCAAGGACTTTTAAAGCTTCACTGTAGGGATGGTAAAGGCTGTGAAGGCTGCAAATAAAGTCATCAAAATGTTTTCCCTTCACAGTCCTCATGTTAGTCTTCTTTGAGTGTGTCTTTATTCTTGGAAAATATCATTGAGCAAAGAACGTTTAAAAATACATTTGGTATTCTTTGGTGTTCATGTTATAAAGTAAACATGTTTAATACAGAGAATGAAACAGTACTGTAGGTGGAGGTACCTTGAAGCTTAATTAAAAAGCATGAATAATATTTACCCTGAGAGGCAAAGGGAAGAAATTAAGCAGAATAGAAAAAATAAATATGCTTAATTTGCTGCATTTAGGCTGCTTAAAAGTATAACTATTAAGTATAAAGCTTATCAGCCATGATGTCGTCAGAGAGAAGTCATTCAGCTGAAGTCTGTCTGGTGCACAGATGCTGAGACAGTTTGTCTTATTACAGATACAGTGATGGTAACACTCACACAGTCTTATGAGGCACTGAGAATAATTCAGGAGCTGATTTACACTCATGTTTAACACAAGAGGCTTTAAACAGGAGCTGTAACAAACATCAGGATCTAAACAAACACTTTACACCCTGATACAAAGTGTGCTGTCATTACACTGAGGAGGTAACAACAATGTGTAGAGGCATGCTGCTCTGCCTAACAGCAGATCAATACTCCATTGTTAAAGTGTGATTGATGTATCAACAGTGTGATGTGGACAGCTCAGAGCAGCGGCTCTGACTGCTCGTTAATGTCATAGATCTATTTCTGGAAGGTTATTAACATGTTCATTGTTCTGCAGGGGATGAACACTGTTCTCTTTTGATTCAGTAGATGAATATTCACAGATATAACATCTCATTGAAATTCAACAGAGAAAATGTTTCAGCAAAAGGCTGGGGAAAAAAAATTAACTTGCAATCACATGCAGATGTGTCAACTACACAAAGAGCTGATGTGAGTATTTGGGTTTGGTTGATTACACCCAGAACTCAGATGTTTCTATCTTAAATGTATAAGGAAACAACACAATCCATTAAAGTTTGTTCTCACTATAATTAATGTCTTTTTTATGAAAGTTAATAATAATGAAAAAGTCGAAGACCTGTCAGCCTGTGAAAAACATCATGACATTATCATGAAAAAATGTCCTTTTTGTCTTTATCCATTATCTTTACTGATCAGCTGAGAAGTAATCAAATCAATCTGGCATAGTCATTAAATGAACAGATTTTCTAACCTGGAACAAAGCAGCTCAGTATTATATTCTACACTCTGACTGTTGAGTCACAGAGAAATGATCATCATGTGAATATGGTGAACAGGTTGGAGCATAGGCAATAAAAACAATACCTCAGCAAATAACGTATGTTGTAGAGTTATTTCAAAGGTATTATTCAAATATACAAACCATTCTATCAATGTTGGACTCTGTTTTAAACATGTTCTTTTGACATATCTGCTTTATCTGCTCATTTCTAGCTAAATCAAATATATTCTTAAGTACAGACTGTTGGTTTCAGGCCAGAAGACATCTATTTAGAATCATAAATACTTCATCATCCATAAAATGCCAAGATAAACTATTTCAGGCTTTTTTGCTGACTGGCTGCCCTCCTTCCTTCTCTGCAGAGACTCTCGAGGTATTTTGGAAAGAATCCTGTTAGACTGAAGCCGAGGACAGTGAACTCAGCATTTCATCTGGATAGGGTCCCTCCATCACTCTGTGAAATAATATCACAAAAACAACAAGCCAGCTGTAGAGCTCCATGTATCCTGTGGCCACCACACAGCTCACAGTGTATTGATATCACCATTTCCCACCAAGGATCCAGCTTCAAACTAAGAAGATAAAAACGCTTATATTGGACAGTATGGTTTAGTCTTGAAAAATGTTGAATTTATAAATATGTGTGTATGTTAGGTAACGGTTGTTTAACCAGTTTTATTAGTCAATTAAGAATGGAAGAAACAGAAATAAACGGCGACTGTTGTAAATACAGTCAAACGCTTTGTCTCTGCAAACAAACAAAAAAAGGAGTGGCTGTGGAAATTGGTCAATTTTATTCATAAGAACTTAAGTTTCATGGTTGCTTGTAAGAGGATAGAAAACACTGGTAATTAGAAGAAAAACTCATGAGGAGGTTGATTCTTTGATTCCTTTTTTTCCCCTCCTCCCTTGAAGCACTGAGCGGTGAAACATTTCCTCTTCTCAGAGTGAAGCTGGCAGCAGATCTCTCCTGTGGTTTTGATGGTGGGCAGTCAGGCCTAGAGAGACATGTCAGAAACTAGCTGTGGAAACACAACAAAGTCGTGGCAGGTTTTTCATTCCACCTGCTAACAGGGACAGAAACAGAAGGTCTCCAAATCCCTCATCAGTTAACCGAAACTGTCGCAAAATGGACAGTCAGCAGTTTATCAAATGGGGGGAGGCTTTATAAGAAGTAATAGGTCTGCATCTGATATCTTAAGGTGCTTGTTGGGAATTTGGGTCATGCCATGGTGTCAGTAAACCAAGAAATAGTGTAAACCCAGCATTGTCCACCTGTCAAGATTGTTTATATGACAAAGGTCCATAAATTCAGATATATGTAAGGAAGGTGTGCAATACCTGAACCAATCTAGTCTCTGCAACACAAAGCACTAATCCCCTGTGGAAGAAACATGAATGATGAAGGCTATGAACTTGTTTGTGCAAGCTCAACTCAAACACTAATGCTGTTTATTTAAGTTCTTTTCTTGTGTTTCTTTTTTTTTTTTTTTGGGTGGGGGGTTATGCTAAACTTCTTAAATAGTTGCTGAATGCATCCTACAACATGAGGGGATGTCCAAGTCTTCAGTTGTAAAATGCAGATCCTCAAAAACAGAGATGTTTTCTGTTGTCCAGGTGTGATGTGAAAAAGGCTTCATTGGAGAACGATCTCAGTGTTGACATTTGTATGGGTGAAACTACAACAGGCCAAAAAAAAAACCTCATGAATAGAAATAC